ATTCCAAAATGCACTCGTTCACTTCTTGGCATCTAATTTGTTTTCACCTTCTCTTTGGTTACATATAAATGTATAACATACTGAACGACATATTGATTTTCAATTCTTAACGATACTATTTCTAGTGATTAAAAAAAAACGAAACTATTTCTTCTTTTTTGTTTTCATATACTATTTTTGCCATTGTTTAAAGCATAAGAAAATCTTTTCTAAGTTTATTTGATTGTGTTGCAGTGCATATCAAAATCTCTTTCTAATATCTCGTCTTTAAACTCATTTTTATTCATCACACACATATTTCGTCGTTTGTCATCAAACCATGCACTAAATTCTCTCTTCTCATATAATTTAATCATCTATTGTAAAATATTTATAATATATTATGTTTGTTAATATAAATCTAACATATTTTTGATTTTGATTATCTTAAAATGTGTAGTTTAAAATCTCATTAAATTATAGTTAGTTTTTAAGTGTGTCTAAAAGGAGGAAAATGTCTCTTTAAAAATTCTACAAATTTTTCATTATTCAATTAAATTGTATTTTTGATCTAACATATTTTTGATTTTGATTATCTTAAAATGTGTATTTTAAAATCTCATTAAATTATAGTTAGTTTTTAAGTGTGTCTAAAAAGAGGAAAATGTCTTCTTTAAAAATTCTATAAATTTTTTCATTATTCAATTAAATTGTATTCTTTTTATTGGAATTTTTTTGGATAATTTGTTTTCCTATTTGTCTATTTCACAAATAGTTACAAAATGAATTTCTTCAAATCAATATATATTCACGTTTTATTTAAAATATTTTATCTTTATAGATTTTAAGTGTTTGTGAATTATTGTTTTCATTTATTGAGAGATAATAATACAAAAGTGTGTGAGTTAATTAAGTTACTAATTTAGTTTTAATGTTTTTTTTTTTATGATGATGTAGACACCTTATATGGAGAGAGAACTCTTTAATTATATATATGATTCTCTCCCAACCACTATTTTGCTAGTATATACTCCCTCTATTTCAAAATATAAATTGTTTTAACTAAAAGCACGGATATTAAGAAATTATTTTTCTACTAAAAATATCATTTAATATATTTAATATAAATAATTTGACCAATCACACAAAAAAACTACAAAATACTAGTGGTCACATAATATTTAATAAAATTAAAAAGTACGTAGTATAATCAAAACAACTTACATTTGGAAACAAAAAAAAATTCTAAAACGACTTACATTTTGGAACGGAAAAAGTAATATATACGTTCTACATCACCTAGGATAATCTTTGGATTATTTTTTTCGGTAATATAATTGTTAACGAAATTTTACTAATCGCATATAAACTGAAACCCTCCTCTAACAAAATCTTCAACTTCTTCGCAAAAAAAAAAAAAAATCTGTATACCTCTACTAGTCCTTAAGGTCAAAAAGACATCGATATTTCAAAGTATGGATATGATAAAATATTTGACAAAAACTTTCTAAAGTGCTAAGCAGCCCTTCTCTCGTCAGCATTGACTCTATAAAGACTAAAGATTATTAAGTGGAACTATAGTTGGAGTAATTATTACACCATCACGAGTACGTATCGACTGTGTTTATAAACTAAAAACAAACGATATTAATTCTATAATAGATAGATGTGGTGAGAGTTGTTCCAAGAGGATGATTTAGTTTTTTTTTTTTTTTGGATAATTCAAGGTAAATCTCAAACCTATGGTCTAGACTAATCTTTTGTAGAGGTACAGTCCATGGATAGACCATTTCTCCGGATATTCAAATGGACCGAAAGAAAAGGACTATATCCATGTGGGTATTCATGATAATGTGATTTAGTTTTGCGTAGCAAATAGATCGAATCTGAAACGTATAGACGTCTTAATCCTGTTTCTTTACCACTCGATCACAATGTTCCGGACGAGGATGATTTAGTTGCAAATAGTCAAAGAGTCAAGAGGAGTTAAGGATGATATAGTTGCAAATAGTCAAAGAGGGTTAAGGTTTTGGTCGGACGTCATAGACTACTTGGCTACGCCGACCAATGTACCTCCGAGACCATTCCGTTGTATTTTTCCTGATATACGTTACCTTCTTTGACTTCGACAACTAGAAGAACAATAGAATTTGAAGTAGTTAATGAATTTATAAAATCAATAAGGAGGAGTTTAAAAATCTTATAAATATAGATAAAAAAAATACATACAAAAATGAGATAAACTGATAAAATGAATGGTAATCATTTGGGATAGAATTGTTAACTTAGATTAGATGAATTATCGCCACATATTATACTTTTAAATTTAGTTTTGTTAGTTGACCAAAAAAAAAATAGTTTTGTTAAACTTTATAACACCTCAATTAACTTGGCTTAAGCGAGTTTTGTAGCATCTTTCATTCACTTTATAAATTGAGTCTTTCTAATTGACTTTAATGCTTGACCCAATTTTATAAAGGTTTAAATAATTGGCTGACCAAAACAGTTTAATGGGTAAGGTAATCTCCAGCCACTGTCCCTTGACCACATATAACGCGGTTCGGGATGGACCGGATAGTAACACTGGAAGATAAGTAGTAAGACGAACATGTCACTACTGTCTAGCCTCTTTATTAGGCTTTCTAGGTTTTGAAAATTCGGGAAGATCATATAGTATCTTTTAATTCTCCCAAAGATACATGTACGTGTATTTTTATTGTTTTTGGTATGAAAATAAATACAAATTTTTAAGTTCAATAAGTTAAAACCAATTGACAATGAATATATAGGGTCATGTTTTCTATTTGGAGATCGAGAAGTCGAGATCGACCGAGATCTGTTAATCAAGATTATGGAAGAATCAAGAAAGATG